AAAAAAAAAAAAAAAAAAAAAAGAAAAGGGAAACAAGGAGAAGCAGGTGGAGGCAAAGCATTTCAGATCCACAGGTAAAAAGGCACGTGCAAAGGTCTGGAGAATATGTTTTCTTTACAACCTATAGAGTACATGGAAGGGATTATTCACATGTGGGGTCTATAAAACCAGGCTAGAATTAGATTCTTGAGGACTAAGCTAAGAGACTTACTTAACCAGTGCAGGATGGCATTGCTGAAAAAGCACAGGGTTTTAAAGTGGGTTACAATTACCTGATAGGTGAGCCTACTAGGCAAGTGACTTCTCTGAGTAAGATGACAAAAATTATTGTGGTAGTTTTGTATTGTGTCAACTCGGCTAAGCTAGAATACTGCTTCCAGACTCCTCCCTGTCTGGTCTAAAGTTAAAGAAATCTGTGCAAGATTTGTAAGGTGGAAGTGAAGTAGCAGTTAGTACCTGGTTATGGTCAGAAAAGGTAAGTGACGAAGGCAGTGGTACTGATAGATTCTAGCTTGCCCTTACTCTCCCATACACTTGGCATTCAAATTCATATTCTTGCCCTTGTGATGTCGGGCCCACAAACAGATGCAGGAGCAACAGGCCTACACAGACTTTTCCACCACAGTCACAATATGGCAGTGACTGTGTCTGGTTTTCTAGATTCCCCTCCAAGGTCTGATTTGTCAACCCGTACCAGTGCTTCAGGATAGCCTGTCACTGACTTTTCCCTGATCCTCCAACTACCCCTTTTAGGTTCTTACTTCTCCATCTTCTTCCTCAATTGTGTAAAATCATATTCCTATAATAAATCCTTTATTATTTAATACTCATCGGTTTTACCTCTCTGTTGAATTTTGCCTAATACAAAGATGCCTATTCTCAAAAGGCTGGTCTGAGGATTAAATAAGACTGTATGTATCAAATGGTAGCTGGCACATCACAGCTGCTTAATAAATACATTATTTTTCCCTTAGTCTGTAGAATAGGGATTATAAATTAATAACCTATGGGGGACAACAGGTGTGATTGACAAATTAAGAACAAAAATCAAATAAGAGACTAAACACTCCAAATTCTGAATTGTTGGCTTCTCTGAAAATCAGTAGATCTGACAGTAAGTTATTTCACATTCCTAAATAGCAACAACAGGGAGGAAGAAAAGAGGAGAATGACAGTCTTAAAAGTAAGCAGTTTGAGATGGTGAAGTGCCATCAAGGGAGACAGGCCTGGCAAGTAGATGGAAAGGGGGTTACACAGTGCAGAAACAACAGTACAGATTTGGAAACACAGTTCTTGGTGCCATCAACAAAGAGATATTGATAAAGAGCCATTTGTCAGTTTATTCAACCATGTGTCAAGCATGTTACCGGTGTTGGGGAAATACCACTGGACAAAACAGGCAAAAATCTGTGCTCACGAGGCTTAAATTAAGTGGCAAGAGGCAGATAATAAACAAAAAGATAAAATATAGATTCCTTATAATAAGTGATATTTCTGGAAAAATAAATCAGAAAGGGAGTTAGAGAATGGGGTATATGTATGCAGTTGGTTTGCAATTCTAAATGGGGGAGGTGGGGGTGTGTGTGGGTGGTTTGCAATTTTAAATAGGGAACTTATCAGATGAACCAATATCTGAAGGATGTGAAAGAAAGCCAGGTGTATGCTGGGGACGGGGATGAAGGATTCCATGTACAACAAGTATGAAATCCTTGAGATTTAGGAAGATGAACTATCCAATGAAAAGATGAAAGCTGGGCTGAGGTAGACAGTGGGAGGAAGAAACAAGGATGGTAAAGGACTCAGAGATAAGTTGATCAGGAAATGGGACAAGTTGAATGATGTTTCAAGAAAGGGGGGAGTTTAATAGCTTCAATAAACGAGGGGTGAGAAAAAGAAACTGGATTTAAAATGCAGATCATTCATGACTTTCAAAGGGAAACTTCTTAAGTTGCTGAAGACTTACATGGAAAATTGAAAAACAAACCATTCTTTACTATATTTGGTCCACATATCTAAAAAGATTAATAATAAAAAGAAGAAAAAGGGAGAACATGAGAACTTAACAGGGTGTCCAAACTGCAGGACTACTTTTTAGGAAGAGGTTTCACCTGCTAGTGTAGATAGTGATGAGAGAGGGAAGGGAGGCTATCTCTAGGGTAATACTTTCCAGTCTATCTAACCCCAGAGCACATAAGGAAAACTGTATTTGGTATTTGTAGGTTACATTGTGGTACACTGAAGACGGGGCTTCTGCCAGAGGCAACCTTACCAGGGATTCCAGATACTTAGGTCTACTCGGTTGTCCCAAAGGCTGAGGGAGCAATATTTGGCATGCCTATATCCTATTTGAGATATACCAATATACTGTGGCACTATGACTAAAGCACCCTCCTCTAGGGCTTTAGGGCTCAAACCTATCAAGCCAAATTTATAGATAAACGGAAAATGTAAGCCTTGAGACGGGAAATGTAGTCACTGATGATCCTGATGGGTGCAACCTGCTTAAGTCATACCAACTCCAAATCCTGACTTGCTCAACTCAGGATGATTTTTTTCCTGACAAAACCCATTAAAGAATATGATGTTTGGGCAGTCCCTCTCTATTTCATATACCAGAGGATATAATTCCAATTTCTTGGAAATAACAGCTCTTGTGCATGTGAGGTGACTCCTCAGTCCTAGTGTACATTAACACCATCTACAATAGTACTTGGCTTCTCAGAAATTCTCAGAGCCATAAGATTTCCTCTTTGTACAACTATATCTCTCCTGATCATATGGTGATGACCAGTAACATAACTGCTATTGCCAGGTCCCCCCATCCCCAATCTCATATAGACTAAGGCACACACAAGAACTAGGATGTCATAATAGCAGTATGGCTTCAGAAGAAAATCTAAGAGTCTTCCATATACCCCTTAGAGATACATACTCTACAAATATCTAAATTGAAGGAGGGAGTGAAGATGTGAGAAGAGAAGGAAAGACAAGTCCCAGGGGACATACAAAGATACAGGGGTCAAAGGAAGTATGTTAAAAATCTTTTTATACATATTTTACAGTTTACAAATCACTTTCTCCCATACCACTTATAATTCTTACAACAGTTCTATGGAAAAATAAAACAATTTCTACCCTGTTGATGAGGAAACCCTCAGAAAGATTAAGCAAAGAGCCAAGGTTACATAGTTGACGTCAAGGCTGAGATTCAAACATCAACCTAACTATAGGTGTTTTTACTCTACTATGCTAGCAAGAGGGCAAAGACAGATAATCAATCACAGAGAACACTGCTGTGATAAAGAGAAAACTGAAATTCAGTTACAGAGCCTCCAAGATCTGGGTTCTTTATTTCTAGAAAAGAATAGAGGCTTATGTACTACTGAATAGAGATTTCAATTTGAGACAGTTCAGACTACTGAAGTGCTAACAAACTTAGTGACTATCATCTCACTATCCTGGTTCAAAAGTGAGAAAAAGCTTGAAAGAAGAGACTATGTTAATGTTTGTACGAAACATATGCTAAGCAGCAAAATGTTTTGTGACTATGACTAAGGATAATTATATTAAGAAGATAAATAAACATTTTCATTTCCTCATGAACTTACTGATTCCTGTTTAACATTTTGCATCTATTTGGTCTAACCTTTTAGTGTTATGCCAAAGAAGAAAACATGCTGTTTTCTAACAATAGTGTAAGAAATAATCTGTATAAACATTCTAGCCTAAATAATCCCTGAATGATTACTGGCCCAAGAAGCTTCAAATAGACAAAATGATGTCAGAAGAGAAGAAGCTGACAAAGAAATAATCAGGCCACACCAAGGGTTGAGGAAAACTTCTGAGGTTCTCTCTCTTTTTTTGAGGTTCTCTATATTGAAGATGCCAAGATGTTGTTTAAGGAACAAAAGAAACTACACGTTCACTTATTTTAAGATGTCTTACCATGAGATTCAAGTCCAGCTCCCTGTGCCAGCCCATTGTCATAGGACTGAAAAAGAAAAACATTGTTCAATTTAATAAGGGAATAATCATGATAATAATACATGAATAAATAAGTTACCACTGTACTAAGTTTTTCTGTCTCTTCTAATTTTATTTCTTCTTTTACCTTCCAAAATATGCACTTTTCCCCCAGAGAGAAGTAGAATTCAGCATTTTCAAGTATCTGATCTTGTCCATTCATCAAGTCAAATCACTAAGTATAGATACTCGACACATTCTGAGAATAAATTGTTCAAAGAGTGCTATCTACTCATTCAATTTCTACCCAATAAAAGCTCTGAACCTCTCTCACTATAAGTATATATAAGTTGGAGGAAAATGTAAGCATTTCACATTTACAGAACATTACAAATATGAAGCAAATCTAATGGGGGACAGTTGGGAGTCCCTGAGAATAATAATGCCTGCCTAGATTTGAATCTCTTTACATATCCTCCAACATCAAAAGAGAAGAAGAAGAGTAAAACTTATTAAAACTAAAACCTAAGCAAAGGAAGAAGACTTGCTCAAGCTTCAGATTATCCATATATAGAAAAAGAAACATCAAATCCCAGCAATCCATCTCTCACATCTCTGACAAATCTTCGCAGACAGCAAGGGTGACTTGTAAAAAAATAATGAGGAAGAGAGAGGAGGGAAGCTAATGGTAGGTCTGAGACTGACCTAAAATTACTGCCTAAAACGAGGAAGTCTACCTTAAGTATGAAAATATGAACAGTTCTCATTTTCTGATATGCACAAATTCCAGTTGCCATGATTTAAATAACACCTGGTTCAAATATAAGTAACTGTGTTATATTAACTGTGAGTGGTTGCATAAAGTACAAAACTTCACTGCTACCTCTTCAGTCCACAAATCACTACATTAACAAATGTACATCATAATCAGTGATTGATCATACCACCTTTTTCAGTCTGTCAGTAATTGTTCATTGCACGTCATTCAGTTAACACACAAAGAGCAAAGGATGCGATTGTTCTCTTTGTTTCTCAGAGATAAACTTGCGTGACTTTTTAAAAATATATATATAACCAAAAGATGGAAGTAGAGCAAATAAATAAAAAGCAGTAACACTAGAAATGAAATTGAAATCAAACAGAGTTATAGAAGAAATAGCTGTTATGGAAACGATGACAATGTTGCTATTTGAAGAGACTCTAGATATGCAGTAAAAAAAAAAAAAAAGGTGTTTGTGATGAAAAGGATGAAGACGTTCTAGAGAACCACTACTGGCAAAAAACTTCACATATGAAGAAAGTCTCTGAGATATTTCACAACATTTAAAACACAAAGGATAAAATGTTGGAAGCTGATACAAACTTAGAAAGGAGTATGATCATTTGCCAAGACAGAAAAGATGATCACTCCATATCATAAGTTATATAATGAGAATAAGGCAAAGCACTGTATAAAGAAATAAAACACTTTAATTCTCAATATTTCTCATGTTTTAAATTATAGTGTACTAAATATTAATTTTACTACTTAAAAAAGTCTCTAAGGCTGGGTGTGGTGGTCCACACCTATAATCCCAACACTCTGGGAAGCTGAGGCAGGAGGACTACTTGAGCACAGGAATTCAAGACCAGCCTGGCTAACATAGCACATGTTTTTTTTTTTTTTAAGGCATAAATGTTCTCTACACATTTATAACTGACAGAAAAAGGGTTTTTAATATTTTTGGCAACAAGTTATAAAGGTCAAAGAATAATCATAATTTCTCCCCTTGAGGATTACAACCACTGGCATCATTCTAGCTTGCATGGTTATCATTACAATATGGCACTACCAGCAATGTGATAATAGTGTGTATAGAAAGAGGCTTGGTAAAAGCACAGCACTGACTATAGGGAAGGGATTTAGTGTACAAGTCAAGGACACAGGGTTCAAAAGGTATAGCTTTGGTCAATAAAGTTATAAAGGAAGGGAGACAAGCTCTTTGGAGATTCGTTAATAAAGGAGTACTCAAAAGAGCAAAATTTAGATAACTGAGAAACAAAAGAGAAACCTCCTTCCAGAAAATCATAGAACATACACCCCTTCCCCCACCATTAAATAAAGTCACCCAGTAAAATCATACTGAGGAATAACTAGGAATTATTGTAAGAAAAAAAAAAATCCATGAAGTTACTAAACAAAAAGAGAAAAATACACAAAGCAACTCTGAGATTAAAACATAGCAAATGAAATGAAAACACAATGTATATGAAACTCTGCCTCTTACAAGAGAAAGGCATCAATCAGAAGAAAACTGTAATACAGCACTCCAAACTCAATTACATACGCTCAAACAAGCATTTGGAAATATAAAAAGAAAATTAAAAGTTAAAAACAAATGGACAGACAGTAGAAATAAAAAAAGAGAATTAATTCCAGGAAAGAAATGGAAGAAAATTACAAAATAATCTAAGAAATGAATACTAAATTACAGGATACCTAAGGAATTACAGTCCCAAGTTAAAATATAGTAAGAAACACTAAAGAAACGCAGAAAACACCAAAGAGAATAAAAATGATATTAAAACAGTCACAGAAAAAGTGATTGAAACACAAGCAAAGAAGAATAGACACAAAATTGGGATGCCTTAAAAAAAAAACAAACGGTAAAGTAAGAGACTAGAACTACGGGTCAGCAAACAATGGCCCAAAGGCTAAATACGGCCAACGGTGTGGTTTTGTATGGTCCTGGAGTTAAGAACAGTTAATCTTGCTCCTAATAAAAGAAATACAAGACTGGGTGCGATGCCTCATAGAAGTAACCCTAGTACTTTGGGTGGCCCAAGGAAAGAAGACTGTCTGACCTCTGGGCAACATGGCAAGGCCTTATCTCTACAATAAATCAAAATATTAGCCAGGTGTGGTGCCATGGGCCTACTCCCAGCCAGTTGTAAGGCTGAAGTGGAAGGAATGCCTGAGCTCAGCTGGTGGAGAGTGAGGCAGCTGCAATCGTGCCATTGCACTCCAGCCAGGGCAACAGATTGAGACTCTGACTCAAAAAAAAAAAAGAAGAAGAAAAAAGAAATGCAAATTAAAAATACATTAAGACATCATCTTTCAACCACCAGAGAAAAAGGCAAAAACGAAAAAAGTATAACACATTTCATCAATGAGGTTATGTGAAAACAGGTATTCTCATGGTAGGAAAACAAACTGGTCCATCCTTTTTGGAGAAAATGGGCACTATCTAATAAAATTACATATGCATTCACTTTCTGAAGAGCAATTCTACTACCAGGAATTTACCCTGAAGATATATCTCTAACAACATATAAATACATATGTAGAGGGTTATTAATTGCTGCATTGTTTAATTGTAAAATGCATGCTCTGTATGTAAAATAGTTGAAAACATTACAGTACATCCACACAGTAAAGTAATAAGTAACTAAGAAAAAGAGTGAAGAAAATCTCTTTGAACTGATAAGGAGTGATTTTCAAGCTATACTGTTAAATGAAAAAAATCAAACTACAAAAACAAAAAATATGGATTGCTACTTTTTCAGTAAGAAATGAGAAATAAAAATATACATATCTTCTCATTAAAAAGAAATATAGGAAAGAGAAGCCAATAACTAATGAAAAGGTTTACTTAACAGAGTAGATGGGAATAAGATGGTAAGTATGGGGGCTGGAGGCTAAAACAGAGGTGGAAGATTGGTGGGGGGGGCGTTAGTCATACTTCTCAGAACTATGCTCTTTTGATATAGTTCTGACTTCATAACCAAGTTAATTTTTCACATATTAAGTAAATAAATAAAATTAACAAAGTTGGGAAGGAAAACCTAAGTGGGGGAAAGCCTAAAATGGAATCCAAAAATAAACAACATAACTGTATTTCAAATAAATAACATAATCGTATTAAAGGGGGAAGATAAAAGTTAACCTAAGTACTTCTTAAATATAGTATTCTGACTATGCACTCTAATTCAAAACAAAAAGAACCAATGTATTCTGGGTAACAGGAGCCAAGTTTGTCATTGTCAGGGACTGGATTCACAAATGATAGGAGGAAAGCTAAACTGAACCCTGTGGTGTTAGATCGAAATCTGAGGTATCATATTGACTCATGGTTTTAAGACATAGATATATAAATAGATACAGAAATATAGATGGTGTCTGTAAGTGGGATGCCTGTGCATACACACAAATATACATACATTTCCTAGCTCTGCCTGAAAGAGAGCCTAGAAGTAATGACATGCCAATACCAATGAGCACACTTAGTACCCAGATCCTGGTTTTTAAACACATCCTCGAGTAAGAAACATCAGGGTTCCTCAAATAAATGACTAATTCCAGAGCTGAGAATGGAAAAAAGGAAGATAAACCTGGAATACCTTGTGCCAGAAAACAAGCAGATGCTCAAAGAATAAAGGGAATGTGATAAAAGGGCACAGAGCCTGTTCAAACGGTTTCTCATTGGCCTATTCTGGGACAATCTGAACATCAAAATAAATAATGACAGTAACAGGTTATCTATCAAATAAAATAAGAATCTAGAGTAAGTAAGTAAATAAATAGAGGCAGAGAACATGTTTTTTTCTAACAGAATTTCAACAGATATTTACAGGAGGGATGCTAGGCTAGAAAATCATCAATGTATACTAACAACACTAGTGGATAAAAATTTGATGAGGGGCAGATATTTACATAGTCTCCAGATATCTCACTCTGAATAATTACAAAGGGTTTACCATCTTTACAGAGAAAACTCTGGCACACACCACCTTAACCAAGCAAGCAGAAAGAAGCAAATCAATATGGTGTGCCTCCAAATACAATGCATTGAGAAGACAATTACTTCTGTACTACTTTACCCAAATGCTTATTACCCATCCACCTAACAAACATAAATCTCTTTTGCTCTAATGCACCTTTAAGGTTCTCCTCTTTCTGCATCCAAAGGCTGGCTATTCAAGGTTTGTGCTATAAATTCTACAAAATCTGATCCACAGTTACATATTCAGTTAAAAACAACTCCAACTAAAAAAAAACAAAAACAAAAAACAAAAAAAAACCCCTCCTTTCTTCTAAGAACTCATAGACATTTTCATTTTGAAATACTACCTAGTAAAAGTGGAGTTAACAGCCTAAAAAATTCTAATCTTGAAAATTAAAAACTTATTTGGGAGATAATAAACCTAGGAAGCAACACTTCTATTTCTCCTATATAGAGATGAAACAATAGAGCAAAGAAGCATAAGTCTGGCTGAGGCTAAGTTTTCCTTACTAATACCAATAAAAACATTATAAGAATAGTTTCACCAAAGATACCATAATCTTCCAGTTTGCTTGACAGGACTCTCCACTAACTCATGCTAAGACAGGCTATCAACATTTGTCTTTTAGATTTTAGTTCTTTTTTTTCTTTTAAGGCTGACTAATCTCTTTCTGATAAAGACATTGCTTCTTGGCCAGACTCGGTGGCTCAGCCTTTAATCCCAACACTTTGGGAGGCAGAGGTGAGTGAACTGGCTAAGCCCGTGGGTTTGAGACCAGCACAGGCAACTTGGCAAGACCACGTCTCTACAATAAATCAAAAAAATTAGCTGGGCACAGCAGCGTGAGCCTATAGTTTCAGACTTGGAAGGCCGAGGCAGAAGAATGGCCAGAGTCCAGCAGGTCGGCAGTGGGGTGGCCGTGAGCGGGTCACTACACTCCAGCCTGGTCAACAAAGAAAGATGCCAACTCAAAAAAAAAAAAAAAAAAGACATTGCTTCTTTAGGTGAAAATCAGATTATATCTTACTGCTCTTATTTATAAACTCTTTGTGCAAGAGATGAGATATACATTATAATGCAGCCCCTATACATCAGCAACAACAATCTAAACAGTCTATTTTGTCAACATAACTCACCATACTTCTTCTAATATAAGTGATGGCTTTTTTCATATCCATGCCTGACCAGTTGTTGAGCATATAGCAAATACAGGAAGCACAGTACACAAATCTCATGTCATTTTCACTGCCTTCAGGTACCGCACAAAAACTGGAAATAATAACAATATGATTTTCTATTAACACTAGGCTATAATTTAATTTCCTTACAGAGGGTTTAGAAAAACTTCATGTCTGCACTCATAGAAAAATCTAAAGAATAGGACTATTAACTACAAAAATCTAAAGAATAGGACTATTAACTAGAATATAAAACTATCTCTAAATTATCATTCTACTCTAAACTTCTGATTTCTGGGCAGTTTTATAGACTTCCATGTTATTCCTTCCCAGATGCTACCACTCAGAGTAAATCTATTTGCTCCCAGCCAGGGACAGCTGCAGCACATTGTCTTAAGAATGAATGGCAAAAAAAGTAGCAGACAAAATTTGGGAAATATTGGGTAGTAAGAAATTTCCAAGTCCAAGTTTTCTATGTGAAATTTCTTCTAAGTGTACATACAGCTAACCATTAATCGATCAATCCTACTGTTTTAATTTAATCTTTACATATTTAATTCATTTTAGAGAAGTATCAACCTGTGTTGCATATCTCTTTATTTATAAGCAAGAGTAATGTAGCAGAAATCAAAGACCATATTGAAATATTCAAGTATTAGTCACCTGTATAGTTGAGGTAAATATTTAGCTTCATAGTATTTCCAATTAATGTCAATTTACTCTATATGTCTACATTAATTTTTCCCTCATCAGCAGCAGTGTTTTGAAAACACTAACAGGAAAACAGAGATAGCAGTAGAGAGAGCACGAAGAGTTAACAACATAGCTGGATCTGTTCGTAGTCTTTTCCTTAGATTGCATCACTACTGCTTTATCATTTCAGAGACTTAAGAAAACTTTTCCACCTTAAAGCTCGAGGAAGATTCTTCTTTAGACACACCACATGAACCACCAATATTAATGAACACATGAACTCCTTTTTCTATCCTTTAAAAATGGCACTGAAACTACCTACACTGGAATATAACATTCAATGTTCACCCTTTTCTCCCCCAATCAGTATGTCTTAAGGAATTAAATGTTCCAACTAAATGCATACTTAACTTCAAAATATCCATTTTTCATTTAGAAGGCAAATTAAAGTAGATCCCAACCCTGAAATTATTCAATAGTTTGTGTCTACTGTCTTAGTTAAAAAAAATGAAAAGAGAATTTTGCTATTGTAATTACTTTTGTTTTCATTCATACAGGAAATCTTGGATTACTTTCTTTCTGTACACAATAAACTTTACACGGCACTAATAAAAGTATGATTCTCTAAAGATTCACTATAGTATTGCATCCATTTGTTAGTTCCAAAATATTTTTATTAAAAGCAAAGTAACAAGGAATGACGCATACCTCCCATCTTCCAGCTGAAGTGCTCTCAAGCCTGCTAAGCAAGCTTCTTTATTCACTCGGCTTAAGTCATCTCCAAGAATAACTAAGCATGAAAGGCCAGTGTAGGTCATTGCTATGTGGCCACTATCATAAGGATGAGCTGTTCCAGGATTCTAAATTCAAAATAACATAATGTTATTTAATAAAGTGAAATGAAAACTTATTTCATTAAGAAATTTGTCCCAAAGTTTTAGTACACAGTAAAATTAAATGTTGCTTATACTGGTTTGTACAGAAATCTAATTGAGAAAAGCTTCCATTTTATATATGTCTCAACATAAATATTACTGTATACACTCCAGGATACTTAATTTTTAATTTATCTTAGGAACCTTAAACTTTATGTAAGTAGTTATGATATTCAAGTAAACCAAATTGTGTGGTGTGTGTGTTTAAAAATACCATCTCCTCTGATGCCCAGGTTGGAGTATAGTGGTGCAATCATAGCTCATTGCAGCCTCCAACTCTGAGGCGCAAGTGACTCTCCTGCCTCAGCCTCCTGAGTCGCTGGGACTACAAGTATAAGCCATTGTGCCCGTCTAAACCACATTATTTGAACTTTATATTTAATCAACTCTATCACTTATAATTTAAGTCTTATAAAATTTAAAAAGCATATAGCCTTTCAGACAAAAAGATTATAAAACAAATCAAAATGACTTTATATAGTACAAAGATAAATTAAATACCACAGTAGTTATTTTCATTCACTGCTCTCATACAAAGTTTGAGTCCCTAATAAACAGCAGCACTCAGAATAGCAAAAAACAAAACAATACCAAAAAAATGCAAAGAGAGTTCCAAGTACTAAAATTGAAAAATTGTCAGAAATAAAATAGCATAACGTTTAAAATTTAGATACCAATAGGTAGGTGTTGCTTGAAAAAAGTATTTTCCCTTACTGAGGGAAGATTATTAAACTAGCAATTGTCTAAGCAGAACTAGGAAGTCTGACTAGGAAACTCCTAGTAATTATCACAATATGGGTCAGATTAGTTTGACTGATTTGACTGTTTCAATAAAAAGCAACTACAAAAAGTTATCAAAGATTTCTTAAGCTTTTAAAAATATGTGACTTCATGTTAGATATCCTTTAAAGACTCTGGGAATTGGCACTGACAGATAAAATTGGAATTAAAAAATGACTTATTATGCCAAATGGTTATCTTAAAAGATTATTTCACTGGAAAAACATCAAGTTTCACATAATACTAACTGATTTCTTAATTTGAGGAAGGTTTACTTTTGATTCAATAAGAGTATCTTCTTAATTCATCTTCGCATAGGCTTCCCTTCTGTTTTAGTTGGGTTCACCAATAACTGCTTCAAATACTAGAATAATGGGTCATAATAGTAGAAAGATAAAATAAAATTTGTACCTTGGTACAACAGACTCCTTTGCCTTCTATAATAAATGTAAACTTCTACAAACACTGAAAGACATCAAATGCTGGCTCTACTTCTTATTGGCTTGCTTAATTTTCCTCATTCTGGAAAATGAAGATATTAATACCTACTTCATAGGGTTATTGTGAAGATTAAATAAGTTACTACCTGAAAAGATGCTAGTTATCTTAATGATGATATAAATGGCAAGGCAAATATCAAAAGGGTCACTGCGTCTTCAGAGTCATGATCCAAAAAAGGTCTTGGTACCACTAATGACTTAATCTCACAATTTTCCTCAATAGTGACCTTCTGTGGCTCCTTATAGAATGAGTTTGCATGGTGTTCAATACCCCTTATCTAAACCAACTCCACCTATCCACCTGTAGGTACATAATTATTTGTATGGTCTCACAAATATACCAAGTAAACTACATCTTGACATCTTTCATTCTAAGTTCCTCTTTAGAACTCAAGTTCTATTTCTCCTAGCTATTCTATTCCACATTTACAACAGACTTCTTAGAACTCCTAAAGCACATATCAACCTTTGGTACTTAAACATTTACTATGTTAAAAGAACTGTAGGAAATCTAACATAAATCAAATGTGGACCTTAAGGGCAGAAGAGAGTCTGCTCAAATAATTACAATACAAAGTAGAATGCAGTAAGTGGTCATACGGAAGATATTATAGTACATGGATTTAAGCAGGGATTCTTTTCTGCAGCAGAAGAGGAGGCACAGATGGACAGATGGCATTACAGGTTGAAGAAAAAGTAAAAACAAATTAGAGAAGAAAATCCTGGCATGTATATTAAGGACAATACATAATTTAATAGAATGATATTTGTGAAGGAAAATAGTAACAATAGTGTGTTGGAAGAATTCATCAGTGTTTCTCAAAAAGTACATGTATCAGTCAATGGTCCACAGGTAGTTCAGTGGTTATAGAAAAAAAAAAATCAGTGACACTATTTTATTTATATACTGTACTGGACAATCCTGTGCCTCCTCAGATTCTCTTGGCCTCATTTGTCTCCTGAACTCTCAGCCACTACCCTCAATGACAACTACATGATTTCTGGAATTTCTAGCTCCTTTACCACTCAGAATTCAGCATGAAGTGTGACATAGCTTCCCCAGAAGATGACACTGACCAGGTGAATGAAGAGTCCAAAAATGGGTTTCAGGAAACTCTGAACTAATAGCAAAAATGGCTTCTTCAATTTTATTCTTATTACTTTGAAACTGTCTGGGAGGTGGCGAGAGGTTCGTGGTCATCTTTTAAAAGTAATGTTATTAAAGCACTGTTTTGCTCCCATAAGTATAAGTATGTATCTGCATATGGTCTAGTACTGTATAATGCTCATCATTACCAATGTTATGATACCCAGATAGCCTATTCATTTTGACTAAATGAAGACGTTACCTTTTCTCAGGACTGGATTAAGTTGTATGAAAAAAGGGAAAAATTTTATGAAAACGTTGTTTTGACATTCCCTGCTAAGTGCAATGAGAAACCTAATTAGAGGCACTGGTGAATTCATGTGACTTAGACACAGGCAAGTTAATCTTGGAAGAAAGGAAGAAACTCAAGTAGTGCCTCTATCAAATCATGTCATCCTCTCTAAAATCCCTACTATTTATTCCAAAATTTTGAAGTAAATTATGCAAAAGCTGGTAGCATTCCATTTACCTTTAGCTTCAAGTGGATATAAATCTTGATATACTCAGTATAACACAATACTGGCTTGAAATAATACATAGACTGACCCCCATCAAAGAAAAAGTTTGTGTTGTGAGGCCGCTTTAGAAAAAAATGATAAAGTTTTTCTCCATTCTCTACTGTAAGAAAATACTTTAGAAAAACTTTCACAGATGGAAAACCTACAAAGTTTGTGCTGGGTCTGCTACTTTGAAAAAGAAAAAATACCCCTCACTCTGTTAGGACTTGATGCTTTTAAATACTGGCATGTGCTAGAACCAAAGCCTCTGGACACAACCCTAAAGAAGCCTATTGCCATGAAAGTCATCAAATGAATTGCTTCTCAGGTCTTCATCAATAACTTGAGATGAACTTTTTCTTTTATTCCTAAGAAATGAAGCATCACATGAAAAATGCTCACCCTCACTAGTCATCAAAGAAGTGTAAATTAAAACCACACTGAGATACCACCTAACTCCAGTCAGGATGGCCATTATTAATAACTCAAAAAAACAACAGATGCTAGACAGGATGCGGGAAAAAGGGAATACTTCTACACTATTGGTGGGAGTGTAAACTAATACAACCTAATAGAAATTTCTGGGTGGATATGTTCTGCGTTCTTCCAGGAAGTAAGGTGGGTATAGGTTTCCCTTAAAGTGTTTCATTTTATAATATACATTATCAGACAACATTTAGCTGTACAGCAGCCTAGAAACCTGGTTCTTTCTGTATAACGTCTAGTTTTTTCTCTTAAACCTCCACACATTCCCTCTTCTTCTTTCTGACCCAAACAGAACCAACCTTTGATGGATTGAATGGAATACCCAGGTATGATGAGCCTCGAAAACCACAGCGATTTAGGTTTGATCCTAGAAAATAAAAACATGTGCTTATTTAAAGTACATCTTATTTTTTGTACAGATTCTAAAGCAGTTTAATTATACAATCTTTCAGAAACAGAGTATTTTAGTACATAAGCTTTGTCATTGTCTCCTTTTTAATGCTACCTAATGCTGAATGCTTACCATGTGCCAGATTCATTCTTGGTGCTTTACGGGAATTTTCTCGTTTAATTTCCACCAGTCACAGACAAAATAATGATTTCCTACCACGTATCTTTTACTCATATCCCACATCACTGCCTACAGAATGCTTTCATACTACTTCTTCTATAAGACCATTTCCATGTGATCAACATATTTAGAACAGAAGGCAGAAGTCCAGAGGCTAAGTGGCATGTTCAAGGCAATAGTTATCACAACAGGATCTAGAATCCTAGCTTCCCAACTCATTGCTTCTTTACGTATGAGCAAGTCAAAGTTATAAAGTCACAGAAGAAATAAGTACTTTGTATTTCAGTATTAGATGGACCTTCGTTCTGAGTCCAATAACCTGCTTGGCTTTGAAGTATACCGAACACTGTAAGTTTACACTTAGTCTCTGCTCAATCAAAATGTTTATTCACATTTTCTCTTCTAAAAATCTTCATTTTTCAAGATATCAATGAAATGTAAGTTAGGCACTTAAGAAGCATTCACCTCCATAATAATTATGGTTTTAAATAGTTTTTAGAAAATAAGCATGATAGGTGCAGAAGGTACAAATGCAATTATCAGCAGACAGTAAATGTACTGCTGATTTTAAAAAATCAGTTTGGTTTAAAAAGAGGAGCTCATATGAAGAACTACTTTCATATCTCTTATCACTGGTACATGACTCATTCATTATAACTGTTTTTTACTCTACTAGTTCAAACTAGGCACTTAGCTTCTTATCTTTCTAAATACTTAGAAGGGTAACTTATACATGAATTATTTGAACAAAATAGGAACCATTAAATTTAAAATTCTCCATCAATCATTTTCTCACCACTGGTGAAAAATGTATTTTTAAAAAGATACTAATGGTGATAATGATTTCAGTGAATATGGTTCTCTTATCCCCGCTTAAGACTTTTAAATTGATAAGCCACTTAAGACTTGACAATATATAACACAAGTCACAAAAATTCTCATATCCTTTGACCCAGTAATGATATACCTGAGAATCTATTCCAGCAACTGCAAATATGAGAAAGATTATATGCACAGAAATGTGCACTGTACTCTAATAATGGTGAAAAACTAGAAGCAACATAAAAGTCTATAGGTTTAAGTATATCATGCTGTAGCTACTAAAAGGAATACTCTACTGCTATTAGAAGTAATAATTAGTAAAACTATGTAGCAACATGGAGAAACTATTTGGTCAAGTTAAGAGAAAAAGTAGGATCCAAAAATTTATGTGTATCATTATGATTATAATTAAGCAAATGGTAAACACTGGCAAAGCCTGGAGAAAAATAAAGAAAATAATATTAACTGTGTGGGAGGTTACAAATAAGGGTGAATTTTGTTCTCTGTATAAATCATTGCTGCTATAACAAATTACCACAAATTTAGCAACCTAAAATACCCATTTTTATCTTACAGTTCTGTAAGGTCAGAAGTCTAACACAAGTCTCACCAGGCTAAAATCAAGGTGTTGGCAAGACTATGCTTTTTTTTTTTTTTTAATTCTTTTTTTTTAATTAATCAGTATTTTTTATTATGGTTTTGTGGGGTACAGTTAAGGGTTAGGTGTACAATTACGTTTCATTCAGGCAGCCTGTTGATAAGAGGTGTTTTCTTTTTTATGGAAGTTCTGGGGGAACAATCTGCCCCCAAGCTCATTCAAGTTGTTGACAGAATCAACTTCCTGCAGTTATGGGACTGAGGTCTATGTTTCTATGCTGGCTGTCAGCTAGGAACCCTTTTTAGCTCCTAGAGCCTCTCTTGCCGGTTCTTGCACATGGCCCCTCATCTAAGAGCTAGCAAAGGTACTCAAATTCTTTTCATGATAAGCCTCTCTCTGGCTGTCCCTTCCCTCTTCTGCCTTCTTACTCGCAATTCTATGACTGACTCTTCTGCTGCTCATGTGATTATACTGAGCCCATTTTATATATCAACTATAAATAATCTCCATATTTTAAGGTCAGTTAATTAGTATAACCTTGATGCCAATCTTCAGAGAGTCCCTTCACAGCAGTACCTAGATTAATATTTGGCTGAATAACTAGGGGATATGAATCCTGGAGAGACATCTTTAGAATTCTACCAAACACACCACACATACTCCAAATTAGATGTAATGTTACACTTTTATGATTTAAAAATAAATTATCTCTCCCTTAGCAAATTAGGGGTGCTTTGATACTTTTATCATCACTTGTTTAATCCTTCTCTAGTTGGATGAGGGGCAGTATCAAAGGTATATTTTCCAGTATAATTTGCCTTTCTAAAAAGGTTATCCTTTCAAGCTACTGACTTGCTGAGTCCGATCCCATTTCTACTTCTAATAGAGGAAAACTCTGATTCCACCTTTCAATTCTGAGTTTATACTCCTATTAGGAAGCCTTTCTTGAATCCTCAGTTAACTTTAGACTATTCTCTCAGGTGCTTTACATAGAAGCAGATATATGATATATGATAGGGGTTCAATAAAATATGTTTCTGAGTGAAATATAATTTCCTTATAGGTAAATGAATAAATGACATTTGTTTGCTCATTTCTGTGTTTTTAGTTTGGTTAACAATATTTCTGTAGAGCAGCAGAAATGCTGATGCTCAAAAATACCATATAAGGTTAGGAGATTACAGCATGAATGCTGAACTCAAACTCAAGATCCTGTTCATCCTAGTACTTTGTTCTCTAAACAAGTAACAACCTCTCTGAGCCAGTTTCCTCCATTTTTTAACTAATAACAGTCATATATTGCAGGGTTCTTATAAAGGTTAAAGGACTTGTTTAGATTGTGCTTAGCACAGTGACCAAGGCTTAATAAACCAGTCAAAATCAGTTAATTATATTTAAGCTAAAGTGAAACATGAAATTTATAGCTTTGTTGCACATTATCAAGTTTAATATAAAAGTGTCTTTTCTTTCTTCTCAAAAAGGAGAGTACGCACTATTATCATGAAAAAATAATTTATGTTCTTAAGCACCAGAGTCACAGGATATGAAAATGACAATGTAGTATTTCTTGCCCTCTTCTGAACTGCCTGTGGTCTATGAAGCTGGATAAAGAAAATAGTTTATTTCAGTATTAACAACTACAAGAAGAGATCTTAAGATTTCTAATGGTAAACTGATTAATGTTAAATATCTAAGTAAAATTACTTATTCATTAAACTGAGTTACCAGTCAGACACTTAAATTTAATATTTTTAAATGATGCTCATTAATAGTTTACATTTTCACTACTCAAAAACTTCATTAGGCACTCCTTTCTAGTTCCTGTCAAGATCTGTCTCCTATTGTGCTTTCTTTTATAATAAGCTAGTAAGCTTATCTTTTCATGATAATCATTAAAGTATAAACATATAATTCATCCCAAATTTATTTATTTATTTTTGAGTTGGAGTCTTTCTTTTATAATTCTAGTAAGCTTATCTTTTCATGATAATCATTAAAGTATAAACATACAATTCGTTCCAAATTTATAACTGGATGTATACTCTGGGTAAAATTTAAACTTCTTTGGAGGTTATTAAATAGCACCATCTAGTGTTCCCATTCAACAGTAGCAAAACAAACGGAAATTCTTTACGTGGTCTGGCTGGCCCCTCAGAATTAACTGCATAGTTAGAAAAAAATATAGATACCTCTTGGGTTCCATCCCACACCTGCATAAAAACAATGAGGGTATGGCCTGGAAAAAAATATTTAAAAAAGAAAAGCAAAGCCTGTTTGATACACAGTCAGAATCGACAACCACTGATTTGGTGAATGCATCCTTCACCTTTGCAGAACCATAAAGTCAAACCAGTTTATGTTGCTACACGGAAGTAGTTTTCATCAATACATCATAAAAATCCAGATTACTTAAGAAAAATGAAAAGTGAGTAGATGTGAGAAGCAGGCAAAAATGGGAATATGTACCTGGATATAATACATATATGTGTGTTTATGTGTATGCAGAAGGGCATATTATTAGAGAGTATAATGTGTTAACAATCAACTACCAGGAAAAACAATTCCTTTATTTACATGTGTGCACATGAAAAACAGCTGACATGCCTGAATGGATCATATCTCACTTTAAAATTTAGGGTTTTACAACTAAGGTTATAATAAACATCAACTATATGTCAAGCATTAAAAGATAATACATTTAGATAAAAGATAAACTTACAGAATACTAAACTTTTAGAGTTTAAAAGGCTTATTTTAACCAGGGCAATTGTTTTTCATAAAAAGTATACTGTATTGTGAACAATAAAATAAAAATATATTTTAAATTGTAACTATGTGTTTCTAATAAAGAAAAATTTTTGGGCTAAAATATCACGCACTATTAATAATGGTGGTTATTATTATGCTTAAATATAATTCAAAACCTGATTTGATCACATTCTGGACTTACTAATCCTCATTTTAAAAGACAAGTTTTTCCACTAAGCAAACAGAATTCAAGTAAATAAATGGCTATTTTTAAATTTAAAAATGGACATTTATATTTTATGAACATAGACCAGGCACAGTGGTTCATGTCTGTAATCCCAGCAATTTGGGAAGCCAAGGTGGGAGGACCAGTAGATGGAGACCAGCCTGGGCAAAATAGCAAGATCCTGTCTTTACAAAAAAAATTTAAAAATTAGCCAGGCATGGTGACACACACCTGTAACCCTGGCCACTCAAGAGGCTAAAGTGAAAGGATCCTTTAAGCACAGGACTTAGAGGTTACAGTGAACTGTGAACCTGTACTACAGCCTGGGTGAAACAGTGAAACAGTGAGATCCTGTCTCTAAAAAAAAAGACAAAGAAAAATAAAAATATATTATTTTATGACTATAGAAACAGTTACTCACAGGTCTCAAGAAACATAGTTTCATAGTAAGGGGACACACTTACTATGTATAAACATACAATTCATCCCAAATTTTATTTATTTATTTATTTATACATCCCAAATTTATTAACTCCTCCTTTAAAAATGCCATGAAAGACCCAGATAAGATAAATAATTTTATAGCAAAAAAATATTTTTCTCTATATATTTTATAAATAACACAGATTAATTTCAAAATTGGATGTCTATCAATTCAAGAAAAGGCAGGCAAGAGACTTTCTTTCACAGTGATTTATTAGTATTTCCTTCAACAAAATAGCAAATTGAGAATTTAGAATTGCAGCTAAACTGTGAAAAGATCTATGGAATGAAGTATGACTAGGGACAGTTGGAGACATAAACAAACACTGTGGGACTATCTTTGCAAAAATTTCTCGATCTGTAATGTTTCCAAAAAACAGGTGCTCTATAATTTTTAAAATTCGCAATGTTTGATTTAGCCACATGATACTATACTTACATCTTAAGTGTTACGTTAAACAAGAATAGCAATTTGAAAGATCTACTAAATAATGAAACCACTAAACATTTTACTTTTTAATATTAAGTTTTCTTGCCTACATTTCCAAACTCTTAATCCAAATTATTTATGGGATCAATTAAGAAACAAATTCCAGATTTATTTTTTCTTTAAAGTTAGAAGATAGCTTCAGAGTTCCCATGACAAAAATCTGAGCCAGGTGCAGTGGCTCACACCTGTAATTCCAGCACTTTGGGAGGCAGAAGCAAGAGGACTACCTGAACTCATGGGTTCGAAACCAACCTGAACAACATGGTGAGACCTCATCTTTACAATAAATCAAAAAAATTTAGCTGAGTGTGGTGGCACACACATATAATTCCAGCTATTGTAAGGCTGAAGCAGAAGGATTACCTGAACCCAGCTGGTTGAGCAGCTATTGTAAGGCTGAAGCAGAAGGATTACCTGAACCCAGCTGGTTGAGGCTGCGGTGGCCAAGAGCTTGTCACTGCACTCCAGCCTGGGTGACAGAGTGAGACTCCAACTCAAAAAAGAAAAAAAATCTGTTTCTCAGAAAAACACACGAGATAAACAGGACACCTATTGCTCTGAATCAGCAAATGTAATAAAAATACCCAAAGACTGGCAGAAAACTGCATTTGACTCTTGCTTCTAGTATTAACTAGTGGTAGACAAATCATTAATATCTTCATTTCTAAAATGATGGCTACAGTACTTCTTGCTCCATTCTAGCTCTCAAGTTCTCTAGTTGTTCCTTTAATCAAAGAAGGGCTCATGCAACTTCCAACCTGATCACTTATGTTTCCTAAATATTTCCTTCTGAGATTGATGAGAAGGACTCAACCCTCTAATGCTCTGACCACACACTCATTACTAGGAAACCAATAGGGTCTTTACAATGCTGGAGTTAAGTGGAGGCTAGGGTTAATTTTGATTAAAAATTCACAATGTTCTTAAGTGCCACACATGATAGTTTCCACTAGAGACCTATATACTTAAACAGTAAAGCAACACTGAGGCTGGAGCCAGCAGCCCCAGGTTTCAGTTCAACTCTATCACTTAATATCAGGCAGGTCTCTTAATCACTTTGCCTCTCAGTTTCCTCTTCTGTGGCAGGCCACTTAAGAACAAATCTGATAAGGCATTTATTATATATTTGGCAGTGCTTTGAAAATTATTAAATAGCAAATCACGTTCAGTATTATTTCTGCTGTTAGCAAAAATACAAGTATTTGTGTATGACCATGTAACTTTTAGTTTGTAATTGTTTATTTTTGTTGTTTTAAAAGATTAAGCTAAGCCTTTTTCTAATTTAAAATTTTAAATTCAGAAACATATTTATTGTAAGCATTCAAACAATGCAGATACATAAAAAATTAAAGTATCTTATCCTTCCATCGACCTCTCTCTCCATGAAGATTTTCTATGTATCCTTTTAGAGTTTTGCCTGTACATTTATATTCAGATTGTTAAAACAAAGCACCTCTGGATGCATTTTTAATCTATCATTTAACCATATATGATAGACAGAGTTTCATGTCAGTATATTTGCAGATCAACTTCAATTAGTTTACTATGGCATAGTATTCTTATTGGGTCATTGTTTAATGTAACTGTTTCACTTCTGATGAGAATTTATTTTGCATCTAATTTGTTACTAAAACAAAATGCCCAGACAAACATTCCTCATATATATTTTTGCACACGTAGTAGTTTTCTGAGGTTAGTAAAAAATGATCATAACCATGGTAATTTAAATAAACAGAAATTTACTCTCTTAATTCTGGAGCTCAGAGTCCAAAAGGTGCTAGCATTGTTGCTCCCTTCTGGAGGCTGTGAGGTAGAATCTGTTTTGCACTTCTCTCCTAACTGCTGATGGCTGAGGATGATCTTTGGCATTCTGTAGCATGTTGACACACCTTTCCAATTCATAGGCTTTTCCTCTGTGTCTCAAATCTCCCTCTCCTTTCTCCTATGAGGACACCAGTCAATGAATTCAGACCCCACCCCAAATCCAGGATAATTTAATATCAAGATCTTCAACTTAAAAAGACTTTTATTCAAAATAAGATCACATTTTGAGATTCTGGGTGGACCTATCTTTATGGTGCTACTATTCAATGCATTATGTGACACATGAGAATATGTCACACAGGACAAAAAATTATACTGCTAAATTGCCCTTCAAAAGGTTGTAATAATTTTCACTTCCACCAACAAAATATAAAGTATTCTTCCCCCTATATTCTTGCCAACTTGTTGCTTAATTGACGGGTTAGGTAAAAAAGAATGTAAAACTGTTATTTCTATTGCATTTCCTTGATTCCTAATAAGGTTAATCATCTTTTCACATATTTACTGACTATCTTTACTTCTTCTGTTAACTACCTATTCATAAGTTAGTCATTTTCTAAGGGACAATATATCTTTTTCTTCTCAATCTTAGAATTACTTATAGTCAGGATACCATCATTTTGTTTATTAAATGTATAGTCACAACATTCTGCAAGTTTGTCACTTTTCTCTGTTATCTTTCACTGCACAAAATTTTTATATATTTATTTAGCTAAATCTATCCAATTTTTCTTTTATATTTTCCAGGTTTTGTTAAACATTTTTAGATTTTTTAATTCCTAGATTTTATGTGGTATCACAAAGTAGTATAAATACAAATCTATGAGTTGCAGAAAATATACTCAGTTTGCAAATGCTTTATGAGTAAGAAAATATGAGGAGTCAAATGATGCTCTGAAAATACAGAAAAGAGGAAGAGAAAAGCTGGAGAAGATACAGGAAATATGGTAAATGACCAATGTTCTGAAAACTATAACCTATAGTATGCGTTCTCTCATTAAATGTTATCGTCTATCCTTTCCTGTAGAGACAACAGCTATTTTATTTCAGAAGAATGAATATCAGTAAAATTTTAATAAAAATTATATAAACATATACTTCAGTAAAAATTTACAGAAAGGTCTTTCTATGTGCCACAGTGTATAAGTGAGATCCATTTCTTTAAGAAACCACAATGTATTATTTGATCAGGGCATGTATTTTTAGGAAAAAAAAAAGCAGAATATGTAATAATACGAATCTTACATCTCTCTAATATTTAACTTAAAAAAAAAACTCAGACTTTCACTTAAACTATTAAAAAAAAAAAGCCATTAAAGAAAAGCATAAATAAAGCATTGGAAGGCACATAACCAGGAGATTGAAATAAAACTTTTTTGATGGCAAAGAATTTTTCACTGAATAAACAAAAAATAATTCAGAATGAAAACAAGAGTGTGTCAGAACTAATTAAGCAAAAATATCGACTACAGATAACAAGCAGTCATCAATGTGGAAGTGTACAAAACAGTGTGGTGCCACAAGTGTGAATCTCTATTTAATCCCAGACAATTCTAAATTGCTTTCTCAAGAGATTAATGATTGGATTTGTTATATGTTGTATTTCAGAATGGGAGTGCTGTATTACGAGGAAAACATGGATGAATAAAATATGTCAACAGAATATATATAAACATTAAGATTTGCCAGTACAACACATATTATGCCAGGTACACCCAGAAACACTAAAAAGAAAATGCTAAAAACTCACTCACTGTCTTCTGTGGGAAGGACCTGCAAGGAGTAAATCCACTCTATTATATCATCTTTGTTCACCACATCTAAGGAATCTAACATATCCAGTCCGGAGAGTGCAAAAAATGCAATTGTCAACCTAAAAGAAAAAAAAAAATTCCATCTTAATTAGCAAACCACTGAACTCTTTCTGGCTCAGAAATACAATAAGCTCATTCTACTTTTTCAATAATTTAAACAACACACTTGCCTTACAAAAGCAAAAAAAAAAAAAAAACCCAATTTATTGTTACAACTTAACAGTATCAGACAAATCTTTGTTTCAATTTTTCAAAAAAGGGACAGTTGAGGATTAAGAAATAAATTCTACTCAATTGAAACATATATGAACCCACTGAAGCCAGTATATCAGCAACCTGAAGGTTAAAAGCAGATTTTAAGAAGAGGATTTTCTGCCGGGCTCGGTGGCTCAGCCTGTAATCCCGCGCCTTTGGGAGGCTGAGGTGAGTGGATTGCCTGAGCCCGAGGGTTCGAGACCCACCTGGGTAGCGAGACCTCATCTCTACAATAAATCAAAAAAATCAGCTGGGCGTGGTAGTGTGCACCTGTAATTCTGGCTACTCGGAAGGCTGAGGTGGAAGGATTGCCGAAGCCCAGCAGGCGAGGCTGAGGTGGCCGGGAGCGGCCACTGCACTCCAGTCTGGGCAACTGAGTGAGACTCCAACTCCAAAAAAAAAAGAAGAGAATTTTCTGCACCTAATTAGTACAAATAGCACAAAAGGGGGAACACAGAAAAATTACAACTTTCACTAATTTTCTAAAAGTAATTATACAGTGTGCTTAATTCTTAAGGAATGTTAGAATAAATGTATCTTTATTTAAATATATTTATAAATAATGTAACTCCTTAGAAAAATAAGTCTAATAAACCTTTGGAAATAAATACTTTAATAAAAAATAAATACAAATGCATTTCAAGAGGAGCATTCTTTGATGGAATGAAAAACTATAAGGCAACACCCTCCTCCTCCAAGATTGTACACTATCAATCAGAAATCTGAACCTTCTATTTTCATATAAACTCTTAATTTAGGTTGCCTTGAACATAAAGAATTTGTTACATGCAATTCACCTTGAGAAGTATTCTACAATGCTGCTTAATTGAGCAGTTACCTCATTTCCATAATTCATACAACTAGTAGTAACAGATTAATACAGCTAAAATCTTACTGCAGAGCCACTTGATGTATTCCATCTTTTCAATGAAGGTGCCAAGAGAGAATTAGGCCTTAATGCCCTAAGGCATCCATTCTAAGTAGTAAAGTAACATCTTTCCTGTGCATCTAGAATAAAATTATCTAGAATGGTAGTGCAGGTTGAATATCCTTTATCTGAAAAGTTTTTGACCAGAAGTGTTTCAGATTTTTAAAAAAATTTTTGGAATACTTGCAGATATATAACAAGGTATCTTGTTATGAACGGGACCCAAATCTAAACACAAAGTTCATTTATGTTTTATTTATAGCTTATACACATCACTTATACACACTATTTTAATAATTTTGTGTATAAAACAAAGTTTGTATTTTGTATCTATGTGATTCCCACTATTCTCCTCACTGATGCCTCTCAAACCTGACTGCACCTAAGAATCAGCTTAAAAACAAAGACTAAGGCCAGGCGCAGTGGGTGGTGGCTCACGACTATAATCCCAGTACTTTGGAAGGCTGAGGTGAGAGGACTGCCTGAGCCCACCACGGGTTCGAGACCAGCCTAGGCAACTTGGCGAGACCGCATCTCTACAATAAATCAAGAAAAATTAGCCGGGAGTGGTGGCGTATGCCTGTGGTTCCAGCTACTTGGAAGGCTGAGGTAGAAGAATTGCCTGAGCCCAGGAGGTTGAGGCTATGGTGGTCGTGAGCATGCCATTGCCCTCCAGCCTGGGCAACAGGGTGAGATTCTGACTCAAAAAAACACAAACAAAAACAAAAAAAACAAAGACTAAAACACCATCAACAAAACCTATGAGAGGTCGAGGTCACAATTAAATTTTACTTTACTTCACAATTAAATTGGAATATCTGGGTAGAAGGTAGGGTCTGGGCACTTGGAACTCTGCTCTAAAGACATACTATTATGTATATATGTTACCTGAATGATCTGTTTATCATGTTACTTGCTCCTGGATATGAATGCTTCTCATTTATAAGCAAGTATCAAATACAAGAAATCAGTCATGTGGCAATAAAGTATTTTCAAATCTTACATACTTATTAAGCGCTCATGAAAGTCCAGTATTTTCAACTGACAATTGTAAGACTTAGGTTGAGACTGTAAGGTGTATAGGATTAGCACAGTTATGATTAATAGCTTGTTTATAAAGTGAGGACCCAACAGAAGTGCCCAGCAATGGCTGGTTGACAGAAGTCACTTTGGGGCAAAAGCCTTGCTTCCCTCTAAGACTGGCTAGGAAAGCATGTCTTTTCCAATCACACCAGAGTTCTCAAATAGTCCTAAAACTTTGAGGGAGAGAATTAAACAAGCCATAAGAAATAGGAATTTGGGGCTGTGGGCCTCCAAGAGAAATAATGGAGGATTTTATGGTGCCCAGATGACTGCTACTTAGGGTATAAACTGCTGGACAATCTGACTCAGTACAGGTGTATTATGCCAATATAAGCATCTAAAATCAAGCCAATAAAGTTATTTTTACTTTACGACTTCTTTTGGAGAACATCTGTCCCTTCTTCCCTTCTTCTTTTCCCTATAACTGAATCTCCGTGTCTGTAGCCTAAGAAGTAAGCCATGTCTTCCTGCCCCTCTTTCTCCTACTCTGAACAATACATATAAAAAGTTATTCTTACAGGGTTGAAAAAGTAACATTTTCCCCCTCTAAATCAAGTTGCTTTACTAATAGATCAACTCACAGATGGAGGGGGTAGCCTAAATGTCAATGAAAGATCTCAGATATTCCAGGCTTAAGGAGCAGTGAACACATAACACACACACACACACACACACACACACACACACACACACAAATGAGGAATAAATAAGAACCAAAACCCAAGGAATAAAAAACAGACTGCAATCTGGGAAGTGTACACACATAACAATGATTATTAAATAAGAACAACAACAACAAAACAACAATAAGAAAAAACAAAAAACCCAAGGAACAAAAAACAGCCTGCAATCTGGGGAGTGAAAACAAGAATTTAGACATACTAATATGAGATGTGTGAGTAGTGTACTGTTAGGCTACAGCAGTCGGTGATAATTTGGAAATATATTAGAAACACTGGTTTATAGGAGTTGACTAGATTTGCAAACTTTGGATCACTTGCCCTTCCTTTAACACAATCCCTTCCTTTAACAATGGACTACATTCTTGCCTATATCTCAAGTGGGACTTTGGCTAAATTATACTGCAGAGTTCTAAAATTATAAACAGGCAGCTATGCTAGGAAATAGGAACACAAATAAAATAAACATGCCAATGAAAAGACACCCTTAGAGGATACATAAAAATTAATCATAAAGTTAAAATACTACCACATAGATGCCCCAATAAAGACTTTGGAATGGATGACTGAAAAACTGCATGAATTCCAGAATTTTAAGTGTTATTCTTAACTTATAATATTTTTCAATGGCTGACTCATCTGGTAAATGCTTATAGTACAGTCACACATCTTTGGAGTTATCTGACTTGTAAAACATCTACTACCATAATAGATATACTGTTATATTATCATAATGTTTTCTACTATGGTAATTATTCAGTAAGAAACATCTACTGAACATCTACTATAGACTAGGTGTCATGACAGAAATAAAGCTTCCTAAGCTTAAGCATGTTATATGTTAAGTACAATTACAGAAATCATCTTCTTCCTTTCTAAACCTGCTCCTTTTGCCTCTCATTCTCTAGACCAGATGGTAGTTCCAATCCTGAAATAACCAACTCCTTCTTCTTCATTCTCTCTTTTCTATCCCTACTTCCACTGCCCTACCATCTCTATACTGAACTGCTGCAACGGCTTCCTAATTGGTCTTCCTGGTGGTCCTGGTCCTGTCCCACTGTGATCTTACCACACACACACACACACACACACACACACACACACACACACACACACACACACACACACACACACACACACGTTTTTGTCCACAGTTCCTGCTCATAACTCTCACAGCCCTTGTTACAGTAAACAGAATCTCTCCTGACCTTCTCCTGCCCTCCTCTCACCTGCCCAAGGCCAGAATTTAATCTGACTGTGGGGTCATAAGACCCTCAATCCAGAAGGGATCCTGCCCCATACTCTGAGGAAGAAATGCTACACAGAGAAGCCAAGAAGAATCTGGACAGGCTTTGATGGGTTTAGATTATATCCTTTTCATTCAGTTACATTTCTACATGGTTGCCAATCATGTCTATCCAATGAAGTCTCCATAAGAGGCCAAAGATAGCAGAGTTTGGGGACATTGTGGAAAGCTGAACAACAGGAGGTTCCTGAAGGGTGGCATGCTCAGGGAGCGCATGGAAGCTCTGTGAACCTTCCTCCATACCTCACCTTTCACATCTCTTTATTTGTATCCTTTAAAATATCACTTGTAATATATTGGTAAACATGTTTCCCAGAGTTCTGTAAGCAGCTCTAGCAAATTAACTAAACTCAAATAGGTGTTCTGAGAACCCTAACTTGAAGCCAATGAGTCAGAACTTCCATAGGACTAGATTTGTGACTGATGTCTGAAGGGGGAGCTCTTGGGCACCAAGCCCTCAACCTGTGGGATCTGATGCAATCTCCAGGTAGATAGTGCCAGAATTTAATTGGAAGACACCCAGTTGGTGTGTGCTACACAACTGTTTGCTTGCTTACTGTTAGGGAGAAATCCCACATATATAGGAGTCACAGAAGTCTTCTGTGTCGACTGTTGTGTTGTTTAGTGAGAGAATAGGGGAAAAAAGCACTTTTGAGTGTGTTTGAGTTATTCCTAACACCCATCTAATACAAAGATCAATCTCAAATCTAATGACTACTCAGAAATGCATAACTAACCATGAAGATCTACTGATTGGTAAATTGCCAACATTTACACGATATCAAATTCAAGTTTCTTGACAAGACACACAAAGTTTTCCATGATCTGACTCATTTCTACCTCTTCTGACTAAATTCCTACCACACCCCGCCTTATATTTTGAACCACTATTGGACAGTTGATTGACGTTCTCTGCTGAAATCTCATTATTCTGCCTTAATTTCTTATTGTCTAGTTGCAAAAACAGAACAAAATACATTCTTTAAGATACAGTTCTGGAATTACTTCTTGCAAGAAGCCTTTTCAGAGTTCCTGTCTCTCTTCAAGTTGAGCTAGTTAGGTGCTTGCATAATACCCTGTGATTATCACAATCACGTTTGTAGTCATGGGATCTGTAGTATCAGAATCACCTGGAAGCTTGTCAGAAACGCAGCACCTCAGATCCCACTCATATTTCTGCAATCAGAATCTGCATTTTAACAAAATCCCTAAGTGACTCACATGCACATTAGAGTTAGAAAGCATTGCTGTAATAACTGCGTATTTGCTTCTCCTATCATGCAAACAGTCTCATACTTAAGGGCCCATCAGAACCACCTGGGATGCTTGTTATAATGCAGACTCCTAGTCCCATGCAGAGAATACAATGCAGCAGATCTGGGAAGAGGCCCAGGTATTTTTTAAAGTATCCGGAAGTCACTAATTAAGGGCCTCCCACTACCACACTTTGAAAGATACACTGCTAGACTGTGATATACTCAGGTAAGGAAGGAAATGAAAGGACAAAGTAGTAGCAGAAAGGAGGCAGCAGAGAGGTTACAACACACATAGGGGAAAATAGAAGCACATGAGAAAGGAAAGACTAAGGAGATTGTAAGTACCTTGTGAAATAAAAATTAATTGCCTAAACCCTTCTTCTAGAACAGCTGGATTGGTAAAAATAACATTAGAAAATGGTCACTATTTTGTGTCTCAACAAAAAAGCCTACTCTAATTTCTATTACCCAAATACAAATGGCAATTATAAGCCGTAACCACAAAATGCCCTCTAAACTACTCATTATAAAAAGAAACCTGTTAATTGACAAAGTTCACAATCTAGGGTTTAATATTCACTTGAGTTAACTGGTAACTCAATTAACTTACTTTTCAGAAGTTTAATGGAAAAAACCTTAGATGAAACAAAATACTTTTTATTTTCAGAAAGCCACTGTCATTAGAAAAATAAAAATTATTCTTATTTATCAGACTAAAAGAAACAGGAAAATGGGATACCTTTGCCAAAATGGTGGGTCAAGAAATTTATAAGTATCTATTCAAGTGTTTGTCTTCTTAAGAGTCAGTTTTTTCATATTTATTGGTAAAAGAAATGAAGGAACACCTGAATCTAACACCTGTGTCTAACACAGTATTCCTGTACCCAGATGCATGGTAGACATGCTACAAATGCTTGTGGAATTTAACTGCAATATGGGATAAGAATTGTGACTTAGCCAATGAATTTTTTGTCATCAAATTGTATTATCAGTAAAAATTGTAACCAATCACTTTTGTTTAAGAGGTTAGAGCTTCTTCACAAGCATCTTAAAGTCAGTTATGAATCACAAGCACCACAAAAGAACTTAATGCTAAATTAAGGAAAGACTGTGAATTCGGAAAGAGAAAAACTTAAAATCACTATGAAAACTGATAACGTGCCATTTTCTTAAATGTGGCTATTAAGTAAGCCATAAGAAAACCAAAAATGATTTAAGTTCTATTCAAGTGACAAGCACTAGATATAAAAAGGATATAATTAATCTTGCTTAGCCAATGAATCAAGGTGTTATATATCAATTATGCAGTATGTAATTTCTGGTGTAGATCTTATGATTAGACTCAATTATTAAACCAATTATTAAATGAGTTGCTTAGTCAATTTTTGCTGTTCTATTTACGCTGTGAACAAAATTACAGTTTAATGCCAACATGCATTAGCCTATATGGTTTTGTCCAAGTTGGAATTTTACAGATCAAACGCATTGGCATTTTGAAAATACAATCACACATCTTCCACAGCTGCAAGCAAAGTTCAACTGTTTTAACAATTTCAACAACAGGAACAACAGGATGTACACATTGTATGCATGTATCAAAATATCACTTGTACCCGAAACATGTACAATTATTATGTATCAACAACAAAAATAAGAAGATTTTTACCCAAATGTTTTGAATTCACACAAAATCAATCCCCATAAGATATAAACATGATTTTATCAACTTTTTTTTTTGAGTTAGAGTCTCACTCTTGTCACCCAGGCTGGAGTGCAGTCGCACACTCAGCCACCGCAGCCTCGACCTGCTGGATTTAGGCAATCCTTCTGCCTCACTCTTCCAAGTGTCTGGAACTACAGACGCACACCATCGAGTACAGCTAGTTTTTGTGATTTATTGTAGAGACAAGGTTTCACCAAGTTTCCCACGCTGGTCTCAAAGCAATCCTCTCCGGGCTCAGGCAATCCTCTCGCCTTGGCCCCCAAAGTACTGGGATTACAGGCTGAGCCATATCCACATTTTTTAACCTCCCCCATCACTACAATCAGTGGATTGAGTTTTGGAAATTTTAATTTTGGTGAAGGTATGGGCCCTACTAGTCAATCAATATTTATGAATGGAGGAAAGAATATAAATGATGTTTCCCTCTTTCTTGTGTAAGAACCTGGTCATCCTTCAGGATTCAGCTCACAGTATTCAACAATTATTTTCTCAGTGCCAGATACCATTCAAGGTCCTAGTGAAGAGCTGTCTAAAAGGGCTTTCAGAAATGGTGCAAATGTTGAAATATAAAGAAATAGCCATTGGCCAATACGGCAACAGAGTACTTGAAATGTGGTGGCTACTGCAAACATGAGAACTGAATTGTTCATTTGATGTAATTAATTCAAGTTAAACAGTCAAATGTGGTTAGTGGCTACCATATTGGGCAGCCTAGCCCTGGTGCTATAGAGGTAAACAAGACAGACAAGTATTGTCACAAAGTTTACAATACAGTGTAAAATAAAAACACTAAACAAATAAACCAATAAACATATACTGTCAGGTGGTGACTGGAAGTGATTCCTTTGGAAAGGATGATTAAGGAAGGACTCTAACAAAACCTGGACTAGGTCCATCCCCTTTCTACATACAGTACTCTCAATGAACCCTACACTAACATATAGCAAAAAACTCTGAAAATGATTGCTTGTCTTGTTCAGCCTACTCCAGCACCTACCATAATAAATATATTTCTTGGCCACGTGTGCTATTTATAAAACTCCCCAGACTAACCCAGTCTCACAGTATTCAAAACACATGAGAAGCTCAGAGTTCAGAAAACGCGAGAAGAGATCAGAGCAAAAATAATCTGCTGTTTCCTCTAATCCAGTTGCAGGCAGCTTTGAAGCATCAGTTCACCACGGAGAAGATCGTCTCACCACTTCATTCTTCTCATTCCCAGACTTCTACTGTGAAAAATAGTATCTTAGCCTCCGCCAAAGCACACTCCTCGGCTATTGCAATACACTTTAAACAGGCTGCTTCACGCAACACCACAACTCTCTTGCCTACCATTAGATTTATAATTCCTGAAAGGTAAATTTCTACTCAGACCTCAGAGGCTCTCTGTGGCTCCTACACATCAAACACCATTCAGGCATTCAATTAATACCTTTATGGCATTAATGACTTTACAGAGAAAAGGAAAACACAGGAATATTTACTTAAAATACGACAAACGAAGCCAGGCGAGGTGGCTCACGCCTATAATTCCAGCACTTTGGGAGGCCGAGGTGAGAGGACTGCCTGAGCCCACGGGTTCGAGACCAGCCTGAGCAACCTGGCGAGACCTTATCTCTACAATAATCAACAAAAAAAAATAGCCAGGCGTGATGGCGCATGCCTGTAGTTCCAGCTACCTGGGATGAGGTAGAAGTATCGATCACCTGAGCCCAGCAGATCGAGGCAGCGGTGGCCGTGAGCGTGCCACTGCACTATGGTCTGGGCGACAGACTGAGACTCCTACTCAAAAATAGAAATAAATAAAAATAAATAAAATATGACAGACGCTTTGTCTTTTTTCTTTTACATTCAAAAGTAATGAAGCAAAGTGACTCACAGGGCTCGGGAGAGGAAGTAAAAAGGAGGAGACTGGAGATTCCACAGCCCTCGACTCACAGCTTTCCAGAGCCCACTGTCGCTCAGGGAATGAGGGTGACCACGGCCCCGCCAGAAAAGGCAAGAACGGTCAGAGCCAGGTGGGAGGCGGCACAGCCCCCTTCGGGCGCCCAGTATGCGGACCAACTCTGCTGCGCCTTTCCGCTGGGGCCCGGTCTTACCTGCTGGTCTCGAGCGAAGAATAGCGCTCCGGCAAGACCTGGAGGCAGCGCTGGAAGAACCGCACGTGCCGGTCCCGCAGAAAATCCAGCCGCTCTCCCTCAACGCTCCCTACCAGCCTCTCGTCCTCAGTGGCCGCCATGCTGCTCCGGAAGCGACGTTCGGCGCGACCCGGAAGCAGCTGCTTGCGTTGTGCACCAAAGTCCCCCAGGGGTGACCCGGTGCCAGTAGGAAGGAGTATATCGCTGTGTTAGCTGGCGATTGAAACCTCGTCCTAGCTCTGGGGGTCTTCTGCCGCGCGTTTTCTCTTCGATTTCCACCTAGCTAGCTCAAGACCCAACCTTTTCTACCCTAAACTCCAGAGGTTTGGGAACACCTCAAAGGCCTTATAAAATCCTGCTCACAGATCCCTCCGTAAGAACTTTCATCCTTGTCCGATATTTGGAAGAGCAAGGGCAACAGCATTAAGTTCGATTTCAGGGAACTCTGGCCCGAAGGAAAGTGAGGGTGATATGTATGAAAATGGGGATGGATCAGTATAAATTTGCTAACAGACGTGTTTTGGGAGGGCCACAGTCTTAAGCTGAATGGATAGGGAAACTAAACTACTGAATCGAAACTGTATATGTATATATGCAACACACGCAACATACATATTCATACGTGAGACTACTTGAATCATTTTCTTACAAATCTTACAGATTTTACTCTGCTTGAGTCAATGTGTTATCAGGAATCAATGTTGCATTATTTTGCAACAGCAAAATAGGTTCTCCAACTACCTACGCTAAAAAATGAAATAACGTGCTTGTAGTTCTTTTTTTCCAAAAACAGACTTAAGTTGCTTCAGCCATATCCTATTCCGTTTAAAGGTTCATAAGGCATTCTTGAGGGGGCAAAAAATCTACATAAGGTTCGGGCCTAAACTAGGCTTTTTTGTAATCAGTTTAACTAATAGAAGTTTGGGTATGATTTTACTTGTTAAAAAATGTACCCTGTGGGCTGGAGTTAATCCTAACCAAATAATATTTTTTCCTTTAATAATTTTTGGTACTAGTAACTACTTACAGATATTCCTGCATGTCTATAACAAATACTGTATTAATATATAGCCTGGTATAGACAGAGGGCTGACCTCGGTGCTTTCCTACAAATAGAGAGCTCACAGCCTCTACCCTTCAGATATGCCCAGTATGGAAGAGTTTTATCTATTATTACAATTAAGGTCTCTCTCTCATACCCTCATATGCCTGAAGATGTTCAAAGTGGAGGCATAGCACACATATTTAACTTACTACAATCAACTATGAACACTCTATACATGCTCAGAAAATTAATTCTAATCAATATGGTCCAAAAAATACTTCATTTAATCCTCAGCTCAAGGACCAGCAATCTGATCCATATCTAGAGGGAAAACTTGCTATGCTGGACTCACTGAGAGATGTAACATAGGAGGCATACTCCTGCATCAGTATAAAAGCCTTTTCATGAGTGATTTTAACCATTCAATATTTTTGGCATAGGCATGACAGAGTAAGAATGAGAGCATCTATATAATTAGATATTATTTAGCCATTACACAATGTTTGAATTGTGTAGAAATACAGGAAAATATTTGTAATGTCACTATGCCCTATTTGTCTGTACCTTTTAAAATATATATTTAAACTATTTTTGGTATATTTTTGGAAAAAGTTTCCCTGGAATTATGGGTGCTTTATAACATTTACAACATTTCTTCTGTAGTGGTTTTTCCTAAATTTCTTATTAATGTACTTTTTAAACCAGTATAAGAAATGTTTATGTAATATCTCTTCCATAAACCTATATCCTGTATATAAAGGATCCATATAAAGTTCTCATTTATCTCAGATTCACCTAGAAAGACTGATTTCTTCAGCAGAACTTCCATACTTTATTAAAGAAAGAAAACAAAGCAAAGCAAAGCAAAAAATAAAAAGGCTTAAGAAGAACAGTATACCCAGAATGCTTACCTTAGATGCAGGAAATTGAAAACCGCATTTGTGTGCAACAAAAAGCAACATGTAAAAAGCAGCACATCAGGAACATTTACTTTTCTGTAGCTTGTGCTGTTCAGTTGTTTAAAATTTCTTTGTTTTGTTCTGTATTTAATTTCTTTTTCTCTCTCTTTTTATTTTTGAGTTGGAGTTTCACTCTGTCACCCAGGCTGGAGTGCAGTGGCACACTCACAGTCATAGCAGCCTCGACCTACTGGGCTCGGGTGATCTGCCTCAGCCTTCCAAGTAGCTGGAACTACAGGCATGCACCACCAAGCCAGGCTAATTTTTTTTTTTTTTTTTTTATTGTAGAGATGAGGTCTTGAACTTGTGGGCTCGGGCAATCCTCTCACCTCAGCCTCCCAAAGTGCTGGAATTATCAGCGTGAGCCACCGCACCTGGCTGTATTTAATTTCTAAACTGCTTTAAATCATTTTAAAAAGTTACAGAGAACATGTATCATAAATGAAATGGGCATTCCTGATTAAGGATATTTTGTCAATTTTGTCATTCTACACCAATAATTGTACAAATCAGAATTCAGTTACTAAAATTTGGAAGCCGTCTACTGTGAAATAAAAGGTTTTGACCACCATTGATAGTAAATTTCTGAGTCTTTTAACCTAAGTGCATCAAATTACAATGAAAGATACTCTAAAAGTTATAGGAAACAAGTTTCTCACATTTTTATGTATGTGAGCCTTTATCATTCTTCACCAATAATTGTACAAATCAGAATTCAGTTACCAAAATTTGGAAGCCGTCTACTGTGAAATAAAAGGTTTTGACCACCATTGATAGTAAATTTCTGAGTCTTTTAACCTAAGTGCATCAAATTACAATGAAAGATACTCTAAAAGTTATAGGAAACAAGTTTCTCATATTTTTATGTATGTGAGCCTTTCCTAAAAGATGTGAACTAATTAAAGTTAGAAACTAAGATTGTATAACATGAAAAGTTGAATTATACTGTGTTTTCAGGTATAAAAGTTTGGAAATTTTAAAATTAACTCTTTTGACTAAACATATTAGTCTAGCAATTTTAAAACACTTTAAATGCCACCAAGGGAAATAATAGTATTCTTAAAACTAGCATATTTCAGATGATGTTTTAGAAAATAATTGTCCTATTTTCAGGCAAATACAAGCAGAAAAGAAAGCTGCATGAGCCAAGAAGGTGTGAAAGACACAAAGACTTTATAAATGTATGAAGTCCAGAAAGGCTGAAAAAAAATTGGAATTGCTGAAGGAAACCAAAAAAAGTTACATCAATAATACAATTTAATAGGGCATATGAGGTAAGAGACATGTTTTTAAAATATTTTCTATACAAAACAAAGCATGCTCCAAACAAACACAAAATATTTATCATATAAAAGTACAATAACTGACAGCCTACCTATTTGTTAAACTTAGAAAAAGTACTAACTTACTTCATAACTCTAAAAGAAAAATCATGTTACATTTTTGTTACTCAAGCTAACTTACCTTCAAGTTATAAAAGCTATAAAATTTTGGCTTAAAAAATGTCATTTTATGATTATTCCAATTTATTTTGCTATGCCATGACAAAAACAAAGTGTCTGAAATATTTTTGAGTATTTAAATGAAATGTTTGTAACATACGCTTATTTTAATAATTTTTACATCAAAAACAGGCCAACATATATATTAAATACCCTCTTAGTACAAACAGCAAATACTAATGACAAAACCTCATAAAACTTAATATCTCTCAATTCACATACAGTACAATAATCAATCTGACTAGGCTAGTGATATTTTAAAAACATGGTCAGTTACTCTCTCCTGGCATAAATGAATATGCTAACAGTCTCATCAACTGAGTAGCAGTTTCATTATTTCATATTTTTGTCTATATTCCTTGTCTCCAGGTTGGAATAGCCCTAAGGAGAAAAAGAGAAAAGCAATTATAAATATATAGGAAATATAAAAACCTATCTGATTAAATGTTAGCTTTAAAAAATGCATGCAGATTTGCTTTATCAACTTTTTATTATAAAATATAACATACACATAGAAATTACATAAAATATAAACAGGCAGATATTAAGTTATTATTATGTAAACACCCATTTTTAACTCTTTTTTTTTTTTTTTACCTATGTGGGATATGTAGAAGTGGCCCAGAGCCTGTCGGTCCTATCTTTTTGGTTCGTTCTTCCCAACCTTTGGTAGGTTTGTAAAGCCTAGAGGGGTCCCTATTAACATTATTTTCAACCTGTAATCAGAAGTAAAATAGTGCCAGTTAATTTATACAAATTAAGTCTATACTAAGTAAGATCCTTAGTAAAACAAAGTAGTTTTTTCAAACAGTTGATACTAGCTAACTGGTCATAAAATTGTTAATTACCTCTTTAGTAAATTCCTAACTGGGCTCATATAAAATAAAATTTGGACTACATCAATCTATTTATAAAATGTTATCTGGTTTATTGTTTCTAGTTCTATTATTTTATTCTATTTCTTTTTTTTCTATTTCGATTATGAAAAAACTGTAATAAATACAGCTAAGTATAATAGTGATATAGTGAGACAATAAATTTAGAATAAGTAACTACAAGTAAGTACTCTGCTTTATCCGCGAGGGTCACAAACATCTTTAGTTCTGAGTGTTAACAGTGAGATTAAGCAGTGTTCACAGCTGCCACAGATCTAAAAGAGAGGTTCATATAGAAAGAATGAAAACTGATGAATAGGAAGAGAGAGAAATAATACAAGATAAAATGAAAAGGTGCTTGAAATGCAAAATGGTAGAATTCAAACAGTCGCTGCTTACATTGTATTGAGCTATGCTTTCTAGTCTGCAAATAAGTATGAAATTTAAGGTGATGCTATAAAAAGAAAACAGATTTGATGTCAGTATCCTTATAAATGAAGGAATTAGGATAATAACAATAAAAATAATCTCAGCACAGAGTACCTTTTCTTTTAATTTTGCCAGTCTTCTTTGTTTTTCTGCCTTTTCATCTTCTTTTGCCTGTCTATCTAGAATTTTCAGTTCAAGTTTATGTAAATCCTAAAAAAAAAAAAGAAAAATTAGGAAAGTAAAATTAACTAGAATTTGTTTCAAAACTTAGTTGTTTGCAAGTAAAATTAACTATCAATACTCAACAAAGGCTAAGAGTT